TTTATAATAACTTTAGATTTATGTAAATCAAAATTCATCAAGTCAAGATTCATTGAGTCTAAATTAATGTGAACGTTAATTAATTAAGAATTAATAAAATGAAATTCACACATGACAATGATTTTGTAATATTTATTACATATTGAAAAATGAAAATAAGGTATTATTGAACTAATTAAATTCTAATGGGGTTAAAATCGTCCAAAAAATGATTTTCACTTGATGTGATACTTAATATATTACTTCTATAATTCAAATTTTTTGTGAGGATGAAATATTACAAATAAATAACACTTTTATACTAATTTAGTAAATAAGAATTACTAATACATAAATTTAAACACCTACTAACATTTCTAGATATATGAATATAAATAAATTTATTTATAATAATTATAGATTCATGTAGATTAAGATCTATCAAGTCAATATTTATTAAGTGCATGTCTGGACGCACTGGCTGTTACAATTTGGACCGTTGGTGAGCAAAAAATGGACCATTGTACAATTTTTAATTGAAAAAATTATGACAACTTTGTAGTACCAACTCAGACCATTTACACTCCCATTCCCAAATTTACCCTCCTCATTACATGCCTTGACAACCACAACCATTCCTCTCTCCTAAGCTAAATCATTCCCCTTCCACAATAATCGTTGCCTCCAAAATCTTTCAACACAACCAGCTGTGAAGTGACTTCCCAGATTCGCACCCAAGTCACCTTCTCCGTCAAAACTATTCCCGGAGCACAACGTCATGACATCTCATTCACTCTGGGAGTAAGATGAGTACTCGACGAACGGATAAGTCGATTACTGGACTCGAATTCCCGGAGTAAGAAGAGTACTCAACGAAAGGAGTACACCATGGATCCACGGCTGTCATCAGTAAGGGTCGACAATTTCAGTGATTTTTATTTTCACGTCAGAGCATATTACCTCATGATTGTCCCTAAAAAAATTTCACAATATGATGTTTGCCACTTGTCATCGCAGATGGGTTATAATGGTTTCTCGTCCACCTCAAACCCTCCTCCAAGCCAAACCCAAGCACCGGCCCCGAAAGAATGCCAATTGGAGCAAACATGATAACCAAATTTTCATTATCGTATATGAGATGTTGATAGCCGGAGGTCACCGTAACAGGAAGTGCTTCACTGTAACGGCTGAAACCAAGTGATCCAGTTGTTCAACACCAACTCCGGGTACGTCTGGACCAAGCAACAGTTGAAGAATCATAGGAATTGTCTTTGTCAAAAGCATAAACGACTCACAGAGCCGTTGAACTACTCTGGTGTCGAATACATCTCCGCAACGGGAACAATTGCTGCCTCGAACGAGTGGTGGGAGCGAAAGATTAAGGTACCCAGATTTTTTCACAATAGCAGCATTTCCGATCGAAACTCCATGTCTTATGTCTTTAGCTTGGATATTTGTGCTGCACTATATCATACTTTCTATGTTCTATGTTGTGATTGCAGTTCGTGTTTTGCATTATTTTTGATCTCTTTGTGTCTAAGATGATATTTTATCGTTGGAAGTGGACGCTACATTGTTAAATTGACTAAATTCAATTGAATGCTTCTATGTCTTGAATCTGAATGTGTAATCAACTCGCAAACTCTTTTGGATCATCACATTTATTCAAGTTAAAATTACAGTTTGAGTGACAAGACTTTTTTTATATCCTTCAGTTTGAAGATAGGTAATAAAGAAGTATGAAGTTGAGTGAATAATTCCCATTCTGCGTTGGTGTTTGGTAGAAAGAGAACTCTTCATTATAGCATATAGGTTTTCTTTACTTTCATTTGCATATCTTGCAAGCACATTTATGGTTTGTCAACATGACTTTTGAAAAGCTAGGATATCCTTTTGAGGCTAAGAAGTTGCTTTTGACCTATTTGGATGATTTTTAAAAATTTTTGTCTGATTAGAAGAGTTTAAGATGAGGCCAACCTAAATAGGCTTGTTGAGGAAGTTGTTCTATAAAAAGACAAGTTATCCCAAATAGGCTCTTAAAGCCTTTCTATCCATCTTGCTTAAGACAAGTTATCCCAAATAGGCTCTTAAAGCCTTTCTATCCATCTTGCTTTTGTCTTTTCTCCTTCATGATTGTCGCTGATTATCCATGAAATCTAGCCCCCATTTGACATCCTATTTTTCCATTTTTTTTATAGTAGTTTGCATTACGTGTGCGCCACTTGTCATTCCTTTTGTCATACGGCTCTGATTGTCTGGAAAAGCAACCGGTTGTTTTTAGAAAGCATGTGGCATTATTTAACAAATTCCCATAATGCCCTTCATCCTTGCCTTTCAAATTAAATGGTAGGCGTGACGCGTGATACTCAGCTTTAGTTGGTGAACATTGTAGGTCTATTTATTAGTTTTGAAAATTCAAACGGGTGAGTATTTTATGGAACAAACAATTCATTTCCTTAATACAAATTTCGGGTTGAAAAGTCAACAAATTTAAGGATTACACTATGCAATATTTTCGTGCGTAAAAATTGCTATGAATTCCAACTCTAAATTATTTCTAGAATTTCAGCATCCGAATATTAAAACAAGAATATAACAAGGATATGTAGCCAACTATGACTTCTTCCATAAGCACTAACGTAACGCCTATGCCATGTAATCACGTAGTTGCTGCCACGATATGTCCTCTTCTGTTATTGTATCGATCTCGGTAGCAAACTCGTCTTCTTCATTTGGTAGATCTATCTTGACGTCTTCGTCGTCTACTTCTTCCGCTCTACGAAAACCATCATCCAACCGACAGTTTATCCTTAAGAAGTTATGTATACCCATTGTGACCACGACCATAGCTGTTTGCACTCTCATATTGTTAGCAGTCATTCGATCAATGATCTTCTACCTCTATTTCCAAACACCAAAGGCACGCTCAATAACGTTACGACATGAGGAGTGATGAAAATTAAACATCTCCCATAAATTTCAAAACCTACGCTATTGTCCATCCCTTGCATGATCGAATTCTTAAAAGTGATATCTAATATCCGAGCCCTTATATGGAGCCATATACCTAGGTCTATGTGCAAACCCAGAGTCCACAAGGTAATATTTCCCATTTGTGGGTTTTGAAAAATTAATTACCGGACTATGTATAGCTCGGACCAATATGCGACTGTAGTGGTGTTCCCCGTTGTTCCCGACAGCACGTACGTAAAACACAGATTGAAATCACATGCTGCTATTAATTCTCTCTTTATGTTGTGGCAGCACAACTCTTACATGCGTTCCGTCGTTCGCACCAATGCAATCCTGCGATTTCTCGATCACGTGAACACAATTCGTTTCATAACCACCATCAATGTTTAACTTTCAGTTACGTAAAAAACTTTACCTGAAATATAGGATACCGTTCCACATGTGGATGATGGTGAGCTAGGCCATCATTTTACGTAGGATCCAGTTTAATCATTTTCGCTGCGAATGCTACGTAAGCAAGTTGGATTTTCTTGAAATGATGATTGATGGTCTGCAAGGAATGATTGAACGATGTTTGCACTTGGCGATAACCTTTGCCATGTGCTAGTATACACAAAAATATTCCCACTTATTCGTATATGTCAATGTTCGCGCTGCTGAAAATGTCGTACTCATCACGAGGATGTGCGTGAAGTACATAAATATCGGAGGATACATACTAAATTCCTGAAAACACTTTTGTTGATAAAAGTGTATATTTTGTAGCATAAAAATGTGGCCACATTACGATGTCGGGAATAAATATTGACGTACTCCATTTGGTGCCAAGTAATCGCGAACAATGCGCTCGGCTACTTTACAATATTGGAGCCACGTGTAAATGTCATCCTCTAGCTGCTACATGAAATCTTCATCAGAACTCGATGAGGAATCCGACATCGATTCAATGTCGCAATTTGTTTCTGAAGATGAGTGTGCATCGAAATTGTCTGACATATCTTCAAACAACTTTACGTGGTATAGCGAAAACAAACGTTTGTTTCAAATTTTTTGCCCAATTTGTTTCATACAATAACACTCTGTATTCAGTACCATTACTTGCATTTGCTATTGGTACTTTTAACAAAAAAAGGAGGGACTGATTTCGTTACAAAAGGAAGACATTGCAAACCCTTGTGATTGTCCTTTTTTAAATCATAGCAAACCCATGTGAATGAAATCAAATTGCAGGGAATATATTCCCTACACTACCTATATTCCTTGCAATATCAGTGTTTTTTTTTTTCCATTAGCCACTCACAATGATTTACATTAGTGACCCAGGTGTCATTTTTCCTGGGAACAAGCTAGAATCTTGTACTACCAAAATCCATACACACTCTTCAGCTTCTACCCATTTTTTAATTTCTTAAAAGTCGAAACAGATATCTTCCGTTCAAAATAAAGTTGTTTAATAGTCATCTATTTATTCCAAAATTTGTCATCAATTCAAAACAAAATAAAGTTGTTTCATAGTCTTTAACTCAAATAATGAGTAGACTATAATATCTTAATCTCACTCAATGTACTACTGCAGCATGCTATACTTTCCTATTACTAATTTTTTAGCTTCTTACCTGGTAATAAATTTGTCAAGGTACTCGAATAATAAAATCTAAAAAAATTTAAACCCTTTCCACGACACCATAAACGAATGTAAACTTCTTTAAAACGATTATGGAAATAATCGTTGCATACATATCACAACGTCATCAAACCCGTACGAGAAAAGGAAAAATCACACAAATATCTAATACATATTAAAAATGTACGAATGTAGGGAAAACAAGGGAAAACAAATGCAACGCATATCATCAAAACAAATGGACGACTCACACCTTACGTGGTCGCGAATTCTTGTCCCTCTCAAAGTAGTACTCCACGAACTTGAACCACAAGTAAGGTGTCTTGGCAGCGGAGTACGAGTTTCGATTTTCTTTCTCGCGTAAGAACCATAGTACAAAGAGGTGGAGGTCGTCACCTTCCTGTACATGCCCGGTGGACAGAAGTTAGTCGATGCACTCGGCCACTGGCATTACACTCTTTTGATACGATCTCGCAATGGAGGCGAGTTCCTCTCCAATAGTAACCATGTGATCAAGGGACGCTGAAACATCTCGAGCACTGTACATTTTCTTCTTCCCTCTATGTTTCCTATTTTTGCATTTCCTTTTGTCGCCGCTACGACTACCAGATGTATGCATCGATGAGGCAGTTCTACCTTCTACTGTACTGCCTCTGGAATCGGTTGCCTCCGTGTTGATGGGAATTATATCGCCGTCGAACTCCCTGTCGCTATCTGTGCTAAAGTCAAAACCACGCCGCGACAACATGGTTGGAGAAACAGTATATTTCATCGAGTCACCGATGTCGTTGAATAATTTTCCATATGTGTCGTATATCTCACTACAGTAAAAGTTTTTATACTTCGCGTATTTCAGGTTTTCCTATAGGAACCAAATTGGTATATAGTTAGTCCTATGTAGAAGAAAACTCCTACATTTCAAAAATAACATAAATAGAATTCTTCGTACATCTTGCACTTCAATTCGAATCAATTAACAAGACTTCAACATGTAATTTATTAGGAGAGATGGTAAACTGTCAATTTCTTCAAAGCATCACTGGACAATTCAAAAGTTATAGTGCATAAGGCTTTATTGGCACACATTTTTCCAAAATCAGTTTGTCAAAAATTATTTTTACCCAGACATTGTATGAGAGTCACAACTTCTCAATTGAAAATTGTAACTAAAAATTGTTTATACTGAAAATACCCTTGAAATACTTTCCAATAAAACAAATTCGTTTACACAGTACAAATGGAAAATCAGACAATCGGACTTGGTGAATCTTTTGAAAAGAGAAAGTGATGCAGTTGCAATCTCTAGAAAAAAAAATAAAAAAAAATATTTAGCCTTTGACCTCAACTTTTTGTGAGAGACGGTTCAGAGTTAATAATTTAAAATCTTTAGCTAGAAATAAGAAAAATTCTACGAGCATATGGATAGAACTCATAAGATCTTTAGAAGTTCCATAAAACTCGATACTAAAAAATAATAAATAATGCATATCTAAATACATGCTCATATGTATACCAGAAAAGGGATTAGTGCAACTTAAAAAATTCTAATTTAAAATCGACAACTTCTGATCTATCATTGAACATCATATTTCTCATCACAAAATCAATAAATTGCAAAGATTCATACACCAGCTACACAGAATCAAGAAATGACAAAGACTTCTAGAAAGATTTATGACCAAGATCCATAAGCATATAAGAAATTTCAAAAAATCAAAATTTTAATCTCATAAACAACAAATATACGGCAAGACTAAAGATGATAGTTATAAGGATCAACAAATGACATATGTGATTCTAGACTGACTATAAGAAAATTTACAACACCATATGCAAAACTATCTGAACACTTGCATGCCATTAATATCTGTGATCCCAATTTGAAAATGAATCCACAACGATTTACCATTATGCATCGACACCAAAATCGTAAAAACAGATAGTAAAACTAGAAAGAAGAGTAAATAGCCATGAACACAGTAGGCGAACATGTAGGGAAAAATAAAATACCTTAATTTTTTATTCCCACCAATGGTCCGGAGCGTTAATTCTTCTGGTACCCGAGCGGTACTCAATGCCAGTGCAGTGCAGTAACTCGAATAGGTGTTTGTGATCTGTTTGCAGTTTATTCCAGTAATTCTTCATCTGGGCTATAGTCCACTCTTACCCATTGCAGCGCTGAACAGGTCTGCGATACGAGCCTATCCTTTCGGGGAAAAGCATTTCCCTCGACGATGACCTTCTACGATGACAATTTCGCAGGTCTCAATAAACACTTTGTGCTCTGTTAGGTTCCATTTTACCCACTTGCGTACAACCGGTTGAGGCTCATGAGGGTTGGAAGAGGTATGATTCAACGGGTCTCGGTCTCTAACTGGGTAACACTGCAAGGGGAAGATTGGGTTTTTAGAAAGCAAGGAGCAACATTGATCTTTTTCGAGATTTTTTCAGATTTTTTGGGGGTTAACACTTCAATTTTGATGCAGCAATTTTGATAACATTATCTAATGCTAAATCAACATTTTCTTCTCTCTTACTTTCAGTAAGCTGTTGATATTTTTTATATCGTTCAGTATGTTTTTAACAATTGGCTCACTCATATTCATATTTATTCCACCATGAGGTAGAAAATTTCTTCAATAATTGTGGGTTTCACCTGACACAAAGAAAAACTCCAACTTCCAAATCAAGGGAATAAAATAATTCGAAAACTCTATTAATAAAGTTTTATCCTTTATCAAAGGATGGTAACATGTAAAATTTGAAAATAGAGTTTTTAGTGCTTTTGGTACAATATCCATAGCTGGACAAAATAACTTCCAAATCTAAGATTTCGACTGTTAATTGAAAGAATGTCTGCACACAATCATTTACCTGAGAAGATGCAGACGAGGAATATCTTACCGTGTCATCAGGGTAACAGTTCCACCGGGACTTGTCGGTGTCCATAGAAGGGAAATCTGGTTTGAAGAATCGTGTGAGTGTCGGACGGACGGAGCTTTAGTTGGTGTCTTTTTTCAACAGTGATTGATTGGACAGGTTCTGAAAGGCGACTGGGATTTGTCGGCGGGGTGGACAGTGCATTCTTTGGGAATTTTTCAGTCTTGTTCCACCGGTGTACTTCCCCAGCAGCTGCGTCGTCATCGTTTGATTTGAGCTTCTCATTTTTGCTTTTTCAACAAGGTAAAGTGGCTGGGAGGTGTTGTGTAGATTTGGAATTTTTCTTGAGGGCAAACTCGAAATTCTAATGTAACGATCAAGTAGGTTGAATGTGTACTCTGACATAAGTTATTGGTGTCTTTTGCTTTTTCTGTTTTTTACAGTAAATTTTACTGTAGGAAAATGTATTTTCTCCCAAAGAATGAGATTCAAACGGGACCTATTTTTACTCGTCTCTAATGTGCAAGCATTAGTATTGTGTTTCATGTTGATCAAAGGATGAACATTGGCTAGAAATTTAAATTTCTCACATGAATGATGAATCTGACATGAACTTGACACTTTAACAACTTGGTTGAGAAATTAGCAATTGGATTCATGTTTTTACTCAACTTAAAGTAAGATGAACTTGTCTTTATTTGTCAATTTAAATTGTACTTCAACATATAAATTAATTTATTAGTTTGGCCATTATAATTTTTTCCCTTGTCAAAAGAAGCGTTACATAAATCTAATATCTTTATAAGTAATAGAATAATATAATAACTGCAACTGTAAGGCAATAAAGTCATTTAAGAAGTGTGTCAAAATTATTCAAGTTATATGACTCCAACTGTAAGGTTCGTATATATTATTTGGAGTGTCACTCCTCGAATTCTCAGCTCATCCATTCAAGGTCTTTCATATCAATAGCTTTGATTCCTGAAATAATAGCTTTTATTTGAAAATGTTCATTATTATTTTGTGTCAAACTGCCCCTCTAATATTATTTTCGGTTCATGATTGTTTTGTGGTTTTTACTTTGCACATTTCGTACTGAATACTTCTTTTTATATTTTGCATGTCGAATATGAGAACAAGGACTACAAAGAATACAGAGACAAAGACTGTAGAGAGGTATATAGCTACACGGTGTTGTTCGAGGATGCCTTCGACAACAATAAGTATGCGATCACACCGCCACAGATGTGCCAAATAGGATTCACCTTGTTTGAAGATAGTGGTTACGAAGACCTGCGGGATGCTCATCCGAACGGCGAGGAGAGCAGCTGGTCAAGTGATGAGGGTGACAAAATTGGTTGGGTTGCAACCAGCATGGACGTCTCCAAGTCGCGAAGTGGAGACAAACGTCTGTCTGGCAGCAAGAACACAAAGGAGAAGAGAGTAAAAATAGGAGCTAGGGATTTGTCATACTCTGTTGATTGTGTCGTCTCTACCAGTCAACAAGTAGCTGAAAAAATAGACATTTTAGTAGGTCTTGCTGTAACTGATGCAAAGACACTCATGACAGAGTTGCTGGCAACGGGCAGACTACAGAAAAAACTGACTTGTACTTTTGGACTTGCAAGTTCCTGAGCAAAAGGGCTAACATGGAGATGCTTGACATGCAGGACGATACGAATGATAAAATGGACTGGGTTGACTAGAGCGGCACGACGACAGGAAGTGACGATCAGAATGAAGAATGTAACGGATAAAATAAAAAAACAGTATGGCTGGTTTATGTGAACACTTCAGATGGTTTGTAGTATTTTTTTTCTTTGTCGTAGCGGCATTTTACATGAAAACCATTTGGTCTTTACTCATACTATTTATATTCTGCACCTATATCTGTACTTTGAATTTGGTGTCCATATTTTCAGCAACTTTTGTGTTGCATGCATAATGGTTCACTTTTGTTTGACTACTTGTTTTCCAAAGAATCTTTCTACAGTCATGATGCCCTACAAGTAGACTTACAATCAATAGTGTCAATAATCTTTTTTTAACATTTTTCAATGGTTCATATCCTGCTACGAGGCCATTATTTGTACTGGTGACAGTTTCGAATGGAGCACAGTCTATAAAAGGAAACATTCAACCAATCTCTTAAACAAAGAAAACACTAGAAAAGTTGTTGGAGTTTCCTCTTACTGCTCCTTCATCTCAAAGTGCTTAGGGTATTATCAGTAATATTACGAAGTGGAATGACCCATTCTCATTTTCATTGTGAGCTCATGCCATGCTCTGTTGATGAAGTGGACATCGATGAAGAGGAAATTGTACAACAACTCCAAGATGACATTGTAGAATGGTTTCGCTATTGTTGACAGCAGCCAGAAGTAGATGTTGCAACGTACTATTGCGAATAAAGAAGTCGAATGAGGAGGTTCCCAAAAAAGGGACATATGTTCATGCTGGATGCCGTGAAATATAGTCCCAAAAAATGTTATGCAGAATTTCAGATGTATCCCGCAACATTGCGGGCATTCACAGATATACTCCTCAACGAATAAAAACCTAGTGGCCAGCACGTAGATGTGTATGAGCAAGTTGTAATGTTTTTGTGCATATTAGTGCATGGAAAAGAGTATAGATAGGTTCAAACGCTATTAAATCATTCTTTGGAAATTGTTGGACACTACTTCAAGATTATGCTTGGAGCCGTCGTGGAATTTAGTGAACATCAAATAAGACTTAATTCGAACTATAATCACGGTGTAGAGCATCATGTACCAAATATCAGCAAGCATCCGTTATTTCAAAATTGCATATGTGCAATTGACGGAACGCACGTCAAAGCCGTCATGCCGCGTGACGAACGAGTGAATTTTATCGGACGCAAGGGCATCCCAACACAAAATGTTCTTGCAGCATGTGATTTCAATTTATGTTTCACATTTATGCATGTAGGGTGGGTGGGGACCACACACGATTCACGCATACCGGCATAGGCTATACATAGTCCTGAAATTGATTTTCCACATCTTGCCTTGGGAAAATATTATCTTATCGACTCTGGATTCGCCCATAGACCTGGGTACATGGCTCAGTATAAGGAGTCGATATATTGTGTCATTTTTAGCAGTTCTATGACGACCAGACGAGTCAGAGATGTGACTTTCAAAACGCGTGAGAAATTCAACTTCAGACATTCGTCATGCATGAATGTAATAGAGCGTGCATTTGATGTGTGGGAAAATCGATGGAAAATTTTCGATTGTATGCCAAGTTACAATTTCAAAGTGCAGATTGCTGTTGTCTTAGCTACTATGAGTATACATAACTTCCTTCGACGGGCAGGAGTTGTCGACGAGGCATTCGCAACTATGGAGAGGTAGAACTTCCAGATGAACTGGAAGAAGCCGCTACTGAAATGAATGCACCAGAAATGCAAGGCAATGAATGTGATCGTTTTCGAGATTACTTGGCTCAAAGTCAGTAAGCGTGTGTTCGTATAACAGAGTCGTTATCGTACAGTAATGTTGTCCATTTACCGTTTAAATTACTATTTCGTGTGTAAGAATCGTTGTAGTGCTTTGCGAATTGGAAAATGACAAAAATATGATCAATTTATCCTGGACAATAATGGGCATGTTACTTTGCTTCAATTTGTGTTGTGTTGGTGGGCCCACTCACCACATTTTCAAAGGATGCAAATCTTTGTGAAATGGTCAAAGGTGGTGATAATTTGAGGTGAGAGAAAGTAGAAACTTTGCACATGTCATGGAGGATAAAATGGTCATTTTTGTTCTATTTCTCCACAAAATGTGCAAATGAGAGCTCTCAGTAGGACCTTGTGATTTGATTCAAAAATTGAGTTTGGTTTGAGAAAAGCACTCCCAAACACACAGCTAAACTAATATGAATATTAATTAATCGAGAATTAATAATACTAAATTCATACATATAAGAATTTTGTAGTATTTATTACATATTAAAAAAGAAAAGTAATGTATTATTGAAACAATTAAATTACAGTAAAGTTAAGATCATTCAAAAAATAATTCCCACTTGACGATATTTAATATAATGACCCTGTTTGACAATAATTTTTTTAGTGTGAGAAGCCATTTTTTTTATCGTTGACTAGACAGTAAATGGGTCCCAATGGAAGGAGCAACTCGCAAAAAATGGCTACAAAGTACCAACCACGATCCAATTTTTTATTTTTATCTTGATTAAAATTTCCCCCGACAATGGCATTATAGATTATTGTATGGTGCATTTATGTGTTCCATTGACAATTGAAACCTAGATTAACAATTTAACATTGGTAAAAAAAAAAAAAAAAAAATGCCGACAAAAAGAAGTTTGTCCCATCTTCCAAATTCAAACACAACGTTGCTGCCGACTTTCACTTTTCCACTGAAAATTAATCAAATTAATGAACGAAAGCCATTAGCAAGAAAATTGAACTTATATACAGAAACCAGGTTCACTAATTACAGAATAATTAATTATTTGCGTTGTCGTTTCTCATCATTGACAAAGACCGATAATCATCACTATCCGAAAGTGACATCAATTGATGGATAATTAAATAATATTTATCCTACCAAATCTGAGCGCTTTTTCATGTTCGTTTCAGTTCTAGATCCAGATCCAATTTCATTCTCTCGTACACAGTATTTCCGAGCTTACTATTTCAGGTAACTTTTATTTAATTCGTTGATTTTTTTTACTTAAGATTTTGTGATANCGTTGATTTTTTTACTTAAGATTTTGTGATACTGCTTTAGCTTGTATGGATCTGGAGCATGAAGTGGTTTTCAGATGATTTAAGTGAATTTTCAGCTGTATAATTTTAAACGGTTTCTGGAAACTAGTATAGAAATGTATGGTTTTAATGCTGCATCAAAGATCTATGCAACTACGACCATTAAGAGTTAGAATTAACTAGCAGGTTGGAGACGGTTAGAACAGATAATTCAGTGATAAGTGTTTTATATGAACCAAGAAGGGGAGGTCACCTAAGGAACAAAATCTGTGTTCCATTGAACTTATATTATGCTTACTAATTGCTATGAGTGGGGCTTTATCTCATTTTAGGCTGTCCTTGTATGTCTGTATTGGGTTCATGGGAGTAAATATCTCTGATTTCTCTCTGGTTGTGATGTTGTAACACAGTGAGCCCTCAAAAGGTTTGTTAATCAGCTTGTATGCTGGTAGGCCCTGTATTGATGATATGTAATTTTCTGTGCCAGTTGTACTTCATATATGTCTGAAAAAAGCCTTTATTGCTTCAGAAATATCTTATTCTCTATTGCAGTCAATCCCAGCTCTTCTGGCTCATTATAACTGGACAACAATGTCTAGAAGGGTAAATACTGCTCGTCGCTTTGCAGACAGTGGGAGCCTCCCTTTTGTGGGTTCATTACATCCCAAATCACGCCCATCTCCTTTATTATCAATAGGGCTTGTGGTTGTGGTAAGCCGCTGAACTTTATCTTTTTCAAACTCTCTTACACTCAAGAACACACGTGCAGGAATACACAGTCTCATACCACGATCATGTTGACAGTTGGTACTTTCAGATGAATAATGAAAAACATGGCTACCTGACACTGCTAAATTGTTCGGCTTCATTATTTTCGTTTCTGTCAGTATTAAACATATTATATTGTCAGGCTTTGGTTCACTGACGAGAAAAACTGATATCAGACCTTTTTGTGAATTTTCAGGGCGCATTGCTGATAATTGGTTACATGTACCATGGTTCAGGTATGTAGTTGTTTTGTGAATTAGCATATTTATATCACATGAACATTCACCAGCTAAATTCGTGCTTTTTTTAACCACGCATTATTTTTTGCCAGATTTTTCTTTTTAATTTTCTAGTCTTGATGTGGTAGGAACTAGGAAATCTAGACAATGCACCATTGCTTTTGATGTGTGGTTTTAATGAAAACTTACTATATATTTTTCGTGTTTCATGACAGGTGGAAGGAGCGGTGATATAGCTACTTTAAATGGACTTGATGGTAACTTTCCAGAAGTTATGCGACTAAATACTGAAAATCAAGACGATATGATATCTTGATTCCAAATCTCGATTGCTTATCATAATTGTCATATCAGGGTTTATGCCAACAATAACTTTTTATATATCTGCATTTTAAAATGAAGATACTTCATGAAATGGAAACTTTTCGTATTAGATTTTGTTAATAGTCATACCAGCACGTATTAAAGTGAACCTCGTTCAACCTATTTAATTCCAAAGTTTCTTTTTCTTAATTAAGATTAGTAAACATATTCAGATAGAAAAAGTTGAATTTCTTTTGCATATAACCATTATGACTGCAACAAAATGGTTTGGTAGTGGTGGTATCGGTGCTTTGAAGCAGGAAATTTTTATGTACATTGTTTATAAGAAAGGTGAAAATCTTTCGTGGCAAATGTTCATATTGGGAATTTGCCATTTTATCTAAAGGTTTTGATATCCCATTTATCTAAATTTTCTTCAAACGAATTTATGCTTTTGTGGTTATTAAAAAAATAAAAAATCTTATTAAGTGCATACATATATTTGGTTGCTATTATTGTGGACATCTGGCTTACTTTTAGGGCCTACTGATTTTTATTGTTTCTATTATCTCATAATTGCTAGGAAGTGAAAAATATGCTCAATCTAATATTCACCACTCTAGGCACTAGTATGTTTTTTATCTGGATTGTTTTCGTGAGACCTTTTTTTCTTTCCTGTTCTTTGAAATAAATAAATGTTTTTAATAATATGGATAAGTGTGTCCCAAGTAATTTAACCATGTATATGCAGGAGGTGTCTCATGTACATTAGAAGTTAAGAAAATAATACCTATTTTGAAGAAAGCATATGGGGACAGCATGAGTAAAGTGTTGCATGTAGGCCCCGACACCTGCTCAGTGATCTCTCAACTATTAAAAGAAGAAGATACTGTGGCCTGGGGTGTTGAGCCATATGAGTTAGATGATGTTGATGGCAACTGCAAGAGTCTTGTGCACAAAGGCATTGTGCGTATGGCCGATATCAAGTTTCCTCTTCCCTACAGGGCGAAGTCATTCTCTCTTGTCATTGTGTCAGATGCTTTGGATTACTTGTCACCCAAGTACCTAAACACGACTGTTCCAGAATTAGCAAGGGTAGCTGCTGATGGTTTAGTTTTATTATCAGGTAATTGTTAGAATTATGATCTATTGTCTCCTTTTGATGGTTTTACATCTGTAACTTCTAGGCATTCTTAGCTGACATGGATATTTAATTCCTTCAACTAGTTGGATTTGGCAAAGCTTTTTTAAGGTTTATCATGATTTCAATTGTTACTCCCCATTTCACATCATTTACATCTGGACAGAATTAAATGAATGGGTTATAAAGATTGGAGGAATTACTACTTTATATTGGTTTTGAGCATTTTGGCTTATTAGTTGTTTACTGTTCAATTATGTTCGCAGGGCTAGTGGTCTAGTCCTTGCAGACCCATGTAAAGTTATCCATTTTGGAGTGCTTAGTCTTGAGTAAGCTGGAGATTGGGTGTGATTGTCACCTATTTGAGTGGGGAGTGTAACTCCTTGTCCTACATTGTTGAGTGAGTACACATACGAAAATCTCTTGACCGCTCAATATCAAGAATGAAGTGATAACTAATTTATTTTGGTGAACTGATGCCTATTTGCATCTTAGTAGCTAGTCAGCTTTTTACTCTTGGTATGATGAAGTGGTCAAGGGTTCAAACACTGTGTATATTTACTCTTGGTGCCAAGTGGTCAAAGATTCAATTATCTTCGGAGATCTCCAGATATAAAAATGAAAAAAGAAAAAAAGAAAAAAGGAACAACATTGTTAGTTAGAGTACAAACATCTCTTATACTGGTTCTGTTCTCTAATGATTGTTTCTGGTAGTGACGCTCCTTTGAAGGTACACTAAGTTTCCATTTTATATAGGTCAACCAGGTCAGCAGAGAGCTAAAGTAGCTGAGCTATCAAAGTTTGGACGTCCGGTAAAGTTGCCAATCTTTCTTTTTCTTCCTTTTGTTTTTTTCAACCTGTATGCATCACATGGCCTTGTATTTCATCTAAAATTATAATGACAATAAGTAGATGGTGGTCGAGCTTTCCGTTTTTGTCTGAGCATTTTTATTCTCACATTTCACTTTTTTGGGGGTTGATAGAATGAAAATTGATTTTTCGGGTTAAAGCATATTTTTGTCCCTTGTCTTCTATCTTATTGCTATTGAAAGTAACAATGGCAGAAGATTTGATATCACAGAGAGAACTGGTTGAATGTAGTGTTAAGCAGTCACCTGATATTTCGTCGTCTTTATGTTGAAATCATAATGTAAAAAACTGAAAAAGATTTATATTGAACTGCAAAATTTCTTAGTTGTTATGCTTAGTTGATGACCACTGATAACTGATGAGCATCTAATGGTTTCATTTAGCCATAACTTCAAAAGCTAGTTCTTTTGTGTGTGTAGAGCATGTTTGGCTAAACTTAAAAAGTTTACTTTACATAAAAGTAAATAAGTAAGTTATAAAACAATCGCTTTTATTGATCAAAATAAGTGAGTTAATTAGTTTGATAGCGATGTGAGTTTAAAAATAAGTAAAATATCTAAACATGTTCAGAATCACAAAGTTAGCTAACTATAAATTAACTGAAAACATGTTTTAATTTGGAAACAAAGTTACTTAACATGCTGGTTTTTGCCTTGAATAGGCTAAACGGAGGAGCTCAACTTGGTGGATAAGGTTTTTCATTCAAACCGGCTTACATGAAAATGAAACTGCTACCAAGAAATTCGAGCAGGCAGCAGCCAAGAATTCGTATGAGTCGACATGCCAAGTTTTTCACCTCAAACCTTCGCACTGATAGTTTTGTTACAGATGGTGTCCTTTGCTAAGATGGTGCCAAGAAGGATCTTTAGTTGTTAGAATGTTAAATTATATTCATAAAAAAATTGGTTACCTCATTTGATATTTCATTATGACAGAAAAATTGGTTGATTAAAAGCTTTGTTGGGTGTAAGTTAGCATCCACAGAAATATACCATTATGCCGAATTAGGCATTGACAGTGAAATGAACCATTCTCTATGGAATGTTCATATTTACTGTATTTTTTTCCTCATAATTGTAAAATAAAACTAATTTATGATTTTATATATCTTGGGATCCTCCTTTTGTGGTCTAAGCCTCACTCTTGGAGAACAAGTATTCTTTTATTTACTTTCCTCGTACAAGTGATCTGACTTTGTGGCTGATAGGTTTCTTGATGCCAATGAAGGAATGAAATTATAATTTTTTTCGTTCCCCGAAGCTCGTTTAATTGGATTTCTCGTTCGATGATCTATTCGTTAGGAAGACAACAAGTAGTTGTGCCACTATCAATTAGTTTCGTTTTGGTTAATTCCATGTTTGGCTAATATTTATAAATTATTTTAATTGATCAAATAACTTCTTATTAGCGAATTTTGTGAAATATGCAAGTAGTATTTACAACTTGCTTTAGCTCTTCAGGAACCTGCTACTTGGAAGGTACCAAAGTTTAGACAGTTGCTACGACATGATTGTTAATAGATGGCTTTACTATGCACTGGCCAAAAGTGCCATTATAAAAAAAAAGTTGAACCCCAATCTTGGAGGTTCCTTACCGTCTCGCCTCTAGAGCATTGTGAAGGAGGTAAATCGTGAAATGTGCCTCAACAGGTTAGAGTACAAGAGCTGATATACTGTTATCCACAAAGAATCCAACTTCCTACCTTATAAGAGGCAGAAATCGAACTCTTATACTGTGGCTGCCAGCTCAACCGAGACATTATAGATTAAGCATTTACTCGCATTTGGCATAACGGTGTCAAATGAGAGTTGGGATCTACTGTCCAAAATTGACTGTCTGTCAATGATTTTCATTTTATACTTATTTTTACGCACAAGTGATAGTGAGAGAAAATTTGGACATGTTAATTTAAAGTGATGTGTCAATAAATAATTGAGTGAACAGCAAGCTCGACAGTCAATTTTGGACAATAAATCTTAATTTGTCAAATAGTTAGTGTGGTAAATAAATTAATTTCCAATACATGAAGGCCTGTTTGATATAGAAGATTTTAGACTATAACAAATTAGGGAAAAATTGAGTGTGTGTGCAGAATTATTTGAGAAAAAAAAAGAGTTTTGAGAATAATGAGTTTTAGAAATCGGATCAAACAAGGGATAAGATTATTATTCCTAGCTGTCCACACTACTCGCTCGCCTGATCAATCCCACAGCTATAAAACCACCAGCGGGCGATCGTACGCCGGGTCCTCTCCGCCACATCCGCCATGGCCACAAGGGACAATTACTCAAAGAAACCGCTTTCCAACGCCATTCCGCTTTCCACTTCTCGCCTCATTCTCGCCCTCCTCTGTCTCTCATCTCTTTTCATCTGTTTCTCTCTCTTCAAAGCCGACAACGTACAATCCCCTTTGCTAAACCACTCGGCGGTGTCGACGAATATTAACTATAAAAAGTGCAATTATACGGATGGCCGTTGGATCTACGATCCGACTGTCAGATCGCCGCCGCGATACGACCACACCTGCAAGGAGATTTTCAAAGGATGGAATTGCCTTGGCAGTAACAAGTCGAACGCCCTTGATATTGTCAAATGGCGCTGGAAACCCGATGGCTGTGACCTCCCGCAGTTCGATCCTCTTAAATTTCTTCAAGACTTCAGAGACACCAATATTGGTAAAAACTTGCAAACTGAATTGCTGTAAATTTTCTGCCCTGTATATTTTGCAGTTTATATATGTTTATTCTGTTAATTATAAACTAGGAAAAATATATAATACTAATGCTTCACACAAATGAGAGTGAATTACAGTGTTACCCAACAATAAATATTCAAGTATTTATAAATGAAATTAAGCTCTCCTTGGTTTGAAAAATATAGAAACAAGAAGCTACTATTTTTTTTTTCAAGGGCATCAGCTACGGATCATTATTTGAAATCAGGGTAAAAAACTGTATATTTATGAAGGCTGAAGCTATGGTATATGAGAATAAACTATTTTAAATGGAAATACAGAGAATTTTCATCCTTCTTCGTTATTTGAAGTGGACTCTAAAATCTGAGAAAACCAAGAACTTTATCACTTGAATGGGAAAATGACAAGACCATAGCAGTTCGGCCATTCTAAAGCTAGATACCAGTAGCATGTTTTGGAACACAATGCAGCACAAAGAATCTGTGCAAGTGTTTGTTTATCTGGCTTTCTCAGTGTGGGAAGAACAGTTAGGGTGAAATGTTCATCATCAAAATCAAACCAAAGTATCTGATGATTTCACTTGATTCTTGTTGTAATATAATACACGTGTGGGATTCGGATTTTCGGGAATATTCTTGTGTGTTCCAGTGCTACTTGTAGACCTTATGGATCTTTAACAGTGCAGGGTTTGTTGGGGATTCTTTGAACAGGAACATGTTTGTTTCACTTTTTTGTGCTTTAAAACGAGTGTCCAGCGAGGTGAAAAAGTGGCGTCCTGTTGGAGCTGACCGTGGCTTCACTTTTATTAAGTACAACGTAACAATTGCATATCATAGAACAAATCTTCTTGCTCGTTATGGTAGGTAAGGTTAGTCTAATACTTGTCGTTTGAGTTTTGATGAAGAAGAGTTTATTCTAATGATGTGGTCAACTTTGTGCATTGACGTATTTAAGGTCACTGCTCAATCCATCACGCAAATTTGGTGTTAGCATTTGCCCGGGCATATTTCTATTTCTGATATTATTGCATGCAGTAGATTTTTCCTGAATTGATGGTCATTAGGGCTGCCATTAGATACTGATTTTTACTTACACAAGGTTTTGGCTCTTGTGATCAATTTTGCTTCTTTCTTTTATTCATCCTTTAGATTTGTTGAATCTATTTCATTACAAAACTTTTAGGCTTCCCTTGGACTCCAGGAGGAACAATAAAGAAAAGTCTGAACAAAATCAATTTACCTAACATTTCTCCACGGCCAAATCTAAATCTGAAATTTTGTGAAATCCAGTTGTTGGTTGAACATCACTGAAAAATAAGGCCAGATTATGTAGATTGTAATTTTTTATCACTTACTCTCGATTGTCCTGTGTTCTAAGTAAGCCATGGAGGCCTTTGCCTTGATTATGAATTCGATAGATGGTTAACTTTATATACGTTCTTTAAAAGATATGAATGGCAGAGGAATTATTATCTAGTTTGAGGATATACTATTTCATAAGTTCTGTTAATAAATGCTTGGAACCATGATGAGGGATATTCAATTAGGAATATCAGAATCAAAGATGTGTAGTATGGTTTTAATAAACTTTTTGCTGCTTGGTCTGACCTTGAACCAATTATTTGACTGTGTTCTGTTATTTTTGTTGTTGAGGTTTGAATTTGAGTTTATGACTACCTCATTACGATCATTTTATCTTTCTATTGATCTTTCTTAGTGTTTATGACTTGACCTGGAGTAGGTTTATCATGTAAGCTTGCTGCATGTTTGTATGATTTTGACCCAAATTATTTGCTTATATATTTTGTAGGTGGACGGCTAGCAGCATTGCTGGTGTGCTGGAATCACTAGGTTATAAGGACGGTTACAGAGTGGATGTTGATATACCTGAAGGAACATGGGTAGAAGCTCCAAATTTCCATGATATTCTTATCTTCAATACAGGACATTGGTAATTTTACTTTCCTTTGTGGACTTCTGTCACATAGGCTGCTATCAATGTTGATTTTCGGATGCTACTTTTTATAGCTTTGTGGAAGTGGAATGGATCCTAGTTAGGGCATTTGGCAATTTTCCATGATGCTCTGAATTTGAGCAATGGGAACGTTGAATCAGAACATGATAGTAGAATGAACCTGTTTACTGAGATTCTGACAGAATCTCTTGAAGCTGTAGATTCAACATGATAGTAGAACGAACCTGTTTACTGAGATTCTGATAGAATCTCTTGAAGCTGAAGAATCTTGTTTGGATTTTTGCAACTTTGTCCTTTTTGTACAGCAAAATATATTTTCTGGGGTTGTTTGGAAACTCTTTTCAAAGAGGCACTTAGACTTCCAGAGTTCCAAACTAACCGAGTTCTGCATTGCATAACCTCTGACTGTTTCGGTTCTGCATTAGCTAAAATTACCTCCATGGCTCTGAAGACCCTAACATGAGTGGCTCAAGAAGCTCATTAGCTGATGATGCCTTCTTCCAAGTAATGCATAAATTTCTTTTCCTACGATGTAGTGACTTTACATGCCCGCCCCGCCCCGTGCTGATTGTCCACTTATAGTAAAAAAATATATTTGATTTCCTTTTTTTTCATTGGGCACTGGCTGCCCATTTTGCCCCCAAGCTTTAACCAACCCACTAACCCAATCCAAAGCAAGTTCAGCGACAAGCTAACAATATAAATTAATTTTATAGGAGAAAAAAATTCATAAACTGGGCGATGGTTTGCCCAGCCTCGCCCTTGAGCGGATCGAGGTGGTAAAATCCCCGGTGGGGTGGGGATGAGGAATCCCCAACCTCTCCAATTGACATCTCTACACAGAAAGTGAGGATCTATCACACTTCTCAAATTGAATATTATCTACTAAATGTTTCCAACTATTGTTGCATATTCAAATGACAAGCATTCCCGTTGTATTTCTTAGAGCAACCTTTAATGGATTTTTGTACATGTCAATGAAGACATAGAACAGTGGTTTTTCAGTTTCTTTAACTTCTTTGTTTTGGTTTTTAGGTGGTGGGCTCCTTCAAAGTTTGACCCTGTAAAATCACCCATGCTTTTCTTCAAGAAAGGTATACCCGTGGTGCCTCCAGTTCCACCTCATGTTGGTCTTGATATGGTATTATCACACATGGTATGACCCCCATTATTCTCTCTCATATTTTTCCACAAGATACAGCATAGCTCCTAGGCAAATAATCTATTAAGAATACTAAATTCGCGTTCCATTCAGATTTTGCCAAGATAAAAATTGGTACTTGTTTAATGTATGTTTTCTGATCAGAATAGATGTTCAACAATTTCTTTTGTTCTTCTTTTCCTTCTGTTTGGAGACATATCTGCAATTTGGGAAGTTAAATTCTTTTTACCCAGCTAATATGCTATATTTTCAAACTAGATATCGTTTGTGGAGAAAAAGGCTCGACCAAGTGCAATCTTAATTTTTCGAACACAATCTCCAAGACATTTCGAAAGAGGTGATTGGGACCAAGGTGGTTCCTGTCCTCGTTTACAGCCTCTTGCTCCTCAAGAAGTAAGCTCTTTATTGGAATAGTATACACGCACCACGGATGAGCATTATTAATTGTTTTGGCATGTTCGGAAGTTTACTTGCAAGTAAAATAAGTTAAATTAATATTCTTATTGATCAAAATTAGAAATAAGTAAGTTATTTAATAGTAGTTGCTTCCAAAATAAGCAGCATTTTTTTTTACATAGAAGTATGAAAAAAGTATCTTATCCGAAACTGAATTAAAAGAGAATATTATTCTTTTAAACAACGTGTAATTTAATGATTGGGTTTTATGTTTGGTTCGGTATCCAGGTAGAGGAACTTTTCTCTCTGAAAAGTAATGGAACAAATATGGAGGCAAGACTTGTAAATCAGCACCTGTATAAAGCGCTGAAAGGTTCCGGTTTTCAAATATTGGATATAACACAGATGAGTGAGTATAGAGCTGATGCCCATCCATCTGCAGCCGGTGGGAAAAAACACGACGACTGCATGCATTGGTGCTTACCAGGACTTACAGATACTTGGAATGACTTGTTTATAGCACAACTAAACAATTTTAATGTTAGGAATTAAAATGTTTAGTTTGTCTTGTGATTATATGTGGAATATGTTTCTTTGAGTTCGATTTTTTATCGGTGGTTTTAATAGGATTTTATGTCATTGCCTAACAATCTAAACTAACGTAGTGTATTGTGGTGGTTAAGAATCTAACTGACCTGAATGCTTCATTGTGTTGCTTAGCTATTGCAGGGTTTAATAACCATTAAAAATTGATGCATCTTAGAATATTCTAATTTTGAGGGAATCTCAACTGTAATTTTTAGATTCCAGATTCAGGTGAATGGTTTTAGAAATAGGATTGGTTTGTATTAAAATCTGTCAATTGCTTAGTTTTTTACTGCTACATAGTAGCTTGGGACTGAACTTTGTGATACTGAGTTTAGTTTTTTAGTATAATTTGGAATAACTCTAAATGAGGTACAGAGAAGCGCAGCAGCCGAAATTATGACCAAAGAAGAGTAAATTCTCTTACATGGTTATTTCAACTGACAAATTTCGAAGCTATTATTTATAGATATTGTTTCAAGGAAATCTGATCCTAGCTTGTTGTCCATGTTCTTTCAACTATGTCAAATCTACAAGATGAATGGAGTTAAAACTAGTGCTAGATTATGTCAAATCATATATCCTGTATACATAGTCCAAGGAGTTGGAATAAACGTTGGATTGGCTCGACGTCGACGCTTTGATGTTTAAGTCGAGAATTGAAATTGAGTAATGTGTGAAGATCTTAAAGAGTACAATGAATTTTGGGTATGTCGTTTACAATTTTATAAAAACTAGTGGAGATCGTGCGTTGCACGATAACCGTTATAATTTTAGAAAGGATTTTGGTAAAAGGACAAATTATTTTACGTCGAAATATTTACCATCGATTTTACGAACTCAATAATTAAAGACCATACAGGAGTTGATATCATATCATGCAAACTTCATATTTTTTCCAAAGTCTTGGATCATTGTGTTCCAATTTTTTCTCTTCATCTAAATTCCAAGAAACATTTATAAGTAATTGAGGTTTTCTAGAAGCCAACTAATGAACACTGCATTATCCTATGGACTCTCACTTTTCCAGATTCTCAACTCACCAATACTCGGCGGCTCACTTTCAAATGTATCAGTTGATAGCCTTTAGCATTGTATGAGGACATGCCCATTACCTTTGGTTGGATTTGCCACACCAATAAGCCACTCTTATAATCATGAGAGGATGACTGATAACACACCT